TTGCATTGTTTTTGCTTAACTTCGCACTGTGATTGGTCCAGAAAACTCGCACTGTGATTGGTCCAGAAAACTCGCACTGCTCTCTTAACCATGCGAAATTACGAATCACGAATTGGTCGTCCGCGTTTTCCCGCGCTTTGGGAGTTTTCTTGTTTTTGCTCTAAGTTCTCATTGGCTTTTCAGATTGACTGTTGTGATTTTTTAATTTTGGTTTTACGACAATCAATCGAAAAGAGTTTTACAGTGAACATTAAATTACAACCGACAGGTTCGTCGCGTGAAATCTTTCTATAATCTTCCGCTTCGAAAACCTTTCTTTTTTTTCTAATGGAGCCAGTGCTGTGTATCCTACTCCAAGTCAAAAGTTAGTTTTTCAAAAAAAGGAAACGACTCAAAATGTTTTGACGTTTGACGTATACATGTATTTTGAGCACCTTCGTTTGCGGCGGTTTCACATTTTATTTTGCCCCAACATTTATAACTGTTCGTATTTTTGATCGTGAAAAATTGACTATACAAATAGTTTAATTTTTTTCAATTACTGATTCATTCACTTTTTTTATTCATTTATGCAGTCATTTATTCATTCATTCATCTTAGTTGTCGCAACTTTTGTGTGAAATCAAAATCCTTACTAGGAAATTGAGTTTTGTATTTGGCACACAGAAAACTGCAATTTTGATCCGACTTGTTGGTTCTGAAGTTCATGGAGTTTTGTTTGCTATCAAATGCTTCGCTCAGTCTTGTTCGCAAAATACTTCAGTATCAGAGATCATTTAATTATAACTAAAATTCATCATTAAATGATACAGATTCAAAATTGCGAATTTATCGATGAAGAGAATCGAGCTTACCTAGAAAGCCACATGGTACAATACATATTAATGTTTTCTTTTGTAACGCATCACGTGGTGTGAGAATAGAACAATTATATTCTTTACCTGGCTGGTTTTATCTTTTTCATTATCATCCAGTTTATACCCACTGAGAAGTTTCCTCATTTTCCCACGCATATTATGATTAAATTACATAGATTGCTGCTTTTTCCGGGTCAGCGATGTCTATTTAAACAACTATTGGCTTCAGACGTCTTGGATTTGTCAGTAAAGGTTCGTAAATAAGTTTCCATCATTCCCTAGAAATTAAACAAGAGAGTGTTTTAATTTAGGGTGAATAATTAGGGCTTCCTTAAATCGCAAGAATTTGTTTTCTTTTCCATCAGTCATTCTATAACACATAACTGCAACAAAAGATTTTTACTCGATTTTTCATATAATCGAAAAATATCTGCAGAAAACCTAAACATTGATATTTATGTATCGTGTAACTGTCTTCATCTTTGTCATATGAAGTCCATAAGCCGGGTGCTAATTTTAATTTACAAAAATACGACTTCAACAAGCAAACAAACGCTCACAAATAGTATTTAATACCGTCTGAAATTGATGTTTTAGTCGGAGATGGTGTACAAATTTTAGTTAATTAATTAGTATTTCTTATTCTTGACGTGTCAGTCGCAAAATGCTTATATCCACGTTACAGTTAAAGTTCACTTGATAGGGAGCTCGCTGTTCATGATAACATCAAAAAACCTCGTCAGCCTAAGCGTTTTCGCGTCACACTGGCCGAAGTGAGTTAACAGGGATGACTTTCACGGCCAATTTGGGCCATTCAGGAAATTTTTAAACGTTATTCTTTTTTTTAGTAACCTGCAACTCATGTTTAGATATATATTAATTTTATTTTAGTGATTTGCATGCAAATAGTTCAGTGTCAGGACAGATGTAAGTAATTTTTCCATATCTAGTCCTTTTGTTTCCATATGTACGCAGATCCGCAGGAAACCATTTTAGCAAATATTTCACGCTTTTGTCTGTCTTCCCTAATTGGCCAAATAAGAAACTTAAAAACAAATTTGATAAAAATGTTGCCCAGATTTATCTGATGACGGAATTCGTATGACTGTGAACTTTCTGGAAAGGAGATCCTTTATAGGTACCGGAGGAGAAAAAGGTTATAAAGACAAGGTATTGTATTTTGATCTTTATCAAAGTAATAAGGTTATAAACCACAAAAAGATCCGTAGCCTAGTTTAATTTCGTTCTTTGTGGTCTGATAGACAACTGGCCGACTGATCATTGAAATTATTGAGTGTGAAAATA